TGGTTTGTTGACCGAAGGTCTTTATTACAAATCAAGATCTTTAACCTCTCGCGACTTGTAACACGTGAAATTGCAACATAGAGTTGACCATGACTGAATATCGGTTTCTTCAGTAGCAATCCAACATGGGACAAAGATTGGCTTTGACTTTTGTTAATTGTCATAGCATATGAAGTCATGATTGGGAATTGTTTCCTTTGAAATCTAAAAGGAATTCTTGCATCTGACGATGTGAGCGACAACCGTGGAATAGCAACTTCTTGCCCGTGTGAAGTCACTTTTTGACCAAATACGTTAATGAAAATAATTCTTCAACACACCCATTAGAAAATATGACTTCGTTAAAAAGTAATATAGGAAAAATACAATACTTTGCAATCTTTTTGGTTTTTACTATTAGTTCCTTGATATTATCTATTAGGCTCTGTTCTTTTGGGTTGGAAAAGTTAACTTTCGACTTTTTTCAACTCCATTTAGTTTCTTACAACTTGTTCTAGTTTTCCAATTCTTTCTCGTTTTTCCAATAACGACTCAAAAAATATATTCATTTATGATAAAAATAAAATAATATTACATATCGAAATTTATAATATACCACCTAAAACATAAACAATGATAAATTATTTTTTAATCTAAAATTAGAATTTTCTTACGTATGTATTTAAATAATCATTTAATTGAATGACTTGTTAACATTTAAAGTCTTCCGATATTTTTCAATTCCTTGCAACTTTTTCCAACTTCTTCCAATTTCTTCTAAATTCTTCCAGTTTCTGCCATCATCCAACCCTGAAATTCCAACTCAAAAGAAAAGAACCTAAGAAGCTTAAAATGGAAGACATCCCACAAAATTAAATTAAAGGGTCCAATTCCTTTTAATTTAGAACAGTCAAAAACATATCACGGAATGATAGAATAACGATTAATTTAATTTCGAATTCGGTATTCAAAATGTATTTTGTTTGATAAGCCTTTGAATGAATTTATGCATTGAGAAATTAGTTGATAGTTTTTGGAAAAGTCTATTTTTAATTAGTTATGAAGAATTTTGTTGCATTAGGTCGTTACATTCTAAAAGATTATTTATTTGTAGTATATATGTCTTGCATGGAAATATCACAAATATCAAGTAATGAATATGATTAAATATTTGCATGTTTTCTTGCAATAATTATTCCCTGTATTAAGTGGTTTGTAGTTGACTTAAATATTTTTTATTTAAATTCTTTAAATGAGTAAATCTAAAAAAGCACCTCCAAATGGCTAAATCTTTTTTAATGGCTAAATCTTTAATCTTCTGTAACCAAATGGAGTAGGACTTTTTTTAGTAGTGTCTCTCACACCAATTTTTTAGATTTTCTGAAATTGTTAAAAATTAAAGATACCTATTTGTAACATCAATGAATTAATATATAACTATAGATTTTTCTAACCATTTGTTATATCAATCAAAGGAGTATAGTCCGTTATTTTGTTTTTCTTAATATGCATATTGTTTTTGGATGTCGTCATTCTTGTAACTCTTTAAAAGATGTTGATAGAAAATGTAGTATTTATATTGAGAAAATTGAACAAAATAAATTCACGATAACTAAGTAAATAAGTAGTATATATCATTTTAAATGCATTATTACAAATAATGATGCATTTAAATAAAACATACGTTGAATAAATTCATGATAACTAATATTTTTGTGAAATATACGTGAGATTTTTTACATTTTCCAAAAAAAATATATTAGTAGAATTTGCTCCATCAAATATGCAAGTTTAATGAAAGTGGAAGAAGTTGAAATTTATTTTTTTTCCCGACGTTTATTCGATTAGAATTAGATTTATTTTTTAACATCTTAAATTTTATGTGTTGGACTTGAATATACTCAAACCCATCAGCCCATTTAAGCCCTTACAAAAAAACCTTATTTTAAACTAATCCACCAGCCCAATTATATAAACCCAGCCCACCACAACCCTTCAGCCCAACCCACTAATAAAACCTAATTATATTTTCTACCCTAACCGACCAAAACCCAGATCTCTCTCTCGCTCGCTCCTTTTCCGCCTTTCGCCTCTGCGCTCTCTCCCTCTCTGTCTCTATCTACGTGTCTACTTTGATTTGTCTTAATCTGATTCTCGCATGCCCAAGCCACCGACGTTTCCTTCACAACCCTTTCTCACATTTCCGGTGACAATATCTCGTGTTCTCTATTATTCCCAAGGACAGAGAGAGAGAGATTATGAAGATGGTGGTAAATCCAAAGTTATCGCCAGCGAGTTCTTCAAATCGGAAGGTAGATTATCTATCACTCATCCAGATCTGAATTTTTAATTTTTATATACCCACTTATTTCTTTCTTTGTGATTTTATCTTAGATCTTTAGTTTTGAAACATACTTTAGAGTTTTATGTCCTTTTATTAATTTATATAAAATATATATAATGAAACTATTTCCAAAACACACAGATCTGCTGTAATCCATACATGCATATAATCACTCATAATTTTTTGTATAAAAAAAGTGTGAGATATGTTGTCTAAAGTTAAACAGAAATATCTTCAAGTGAACTATTGTTATAAAAATTCCTTTCGAATAAGTCATGTGTTTAAAAAAAATTCTGTGTAAGAGTATCCATCTTTGCAAAATTACTACAAAATAGAGGAAGTAATTAAACCTTTTCTTAGATATAGTTAAACTTTTCTCCAAAAATCAATAAATAGTTTATTTATATTATTTTTTTGCATGAATTTTTTAAATACATTTCTTTATTTGTTTAACACTTAAATAAATAATGTGTATAATATTTTTGTTTCAATGTATGAATCTGGTTAAAAATTTAACTTGAATTTTTATATTAGAGAAATTGTATTCAAGATTATATTCTATTTTTTACTTTATAAATAGTAAATGAAAATATTATTCTCAATGTTTTGTATTCTTACCTCTTGCCGTGTTTTTTCTCTGTGACATCTTTAGAATGCAGAATTTTGAAGATGAGGATATGTTGTGGAAGATATCAATTTGGTGCTGTATTTATTGTGTAGAAATTGGTTCTACCACATAGTCATTAATGACATTTGAGATACAGACTGACAAAAAAGATAAAGAAAAGATTTGTAAAATCTAGTTATTAAATGTTGATTTGAGATAAAGTGGACTACTTACTTTATGGTGTGTGGCTCATGCCATACACATTTACCCATATGCATGGTATACACACTTGCCCATAAAACCCATTGAGTCATGTCGCCGTCCTACGCATGGCATTTTTTTCATCATCACCATCAAAACCGATACTGTTCAAGGGATGCTCCCGTCTTCACTCTGTTCAAGGGCTGCTGCTGTCCTCACAATGTCCAAGGGTTTCAGAATTGACATTTTACAGAAAATTTAAACTTTAACAGGCTAGAATTCTCAGCCCATTACCTTGCAGCTTAAAGCCCACTAAATTGGCCCAATAAAAATAGGCGGGAACACTGTTCACAAATTGCACCTAGCATTGTATATAGAAGGATGTTTTTTGTGAGTATGTCAGAGTGCATAAGTATATTGGCATAATGCATATAAGGAGATCATTCATGCAATCAATGTCTACATTGTAAACCATATCCATAGCTTTTTATTTTCACATTCACTCTCAATTACTTGTGAGATGGTGGGACATGAGGCAGTATGCATTTTTTATTTATTTAATTGTTTTTGGTGATTAAATAAAAAATATGTGGTGATATCTTGATTTTATTGTGCGGATGCAGTATATATTTTAAAGAATGCAAAGTTTACCTTTAAAATATATAGACGCGTTGTGATATCGAATGCACTATAAGAGTCTATATATACAATGTGATTTGACATTTAGATTTTATTTAAACTTTATTTTGTTAAATATGTTTTCATGAGTATGTCAGAGTGCGTAAGTATATTGGCATAATGCATATAAAGAGATCATTCATGCAGTCAATGTCTACATTGTAAACCATATCCATAATTTTTTATTTTCACATTCACTGTCAATTACTTGTGAGATGGGACATGAGGCAGTATGCATTTTTTATTTATTTAATTGTTTTTGGTGATTAAATAAAAACTATGTGGTGATATCTTGATTTTATTGAGCTGATGCAGTGTGTATTCTAAAGAATGCAAAGTTTACTTTTAAAATATATAGACACATTGTGATATCGAATGCACTATAATAGTCTATATATACAATGTGATTTGACCTTTAGATTTTATTTAAAATTTATTCTATTAATTTATGAATTAGTGAATAATAACTCCAGAATGACTTTGTATATGATGAAAAAGTCTTAGAATGTATTGTATTTAGAAGAAGTGTAATATACACTTTAGAAATACTTTGCCTATGCGGGACTCAAACGCACATCCGTAGTTCATACTGCTCTACCATTTAAGCTAATCCACAATGATTCATTTAAAAAAATAAATTGCACCTAGACCTATCAAATAAGCATTTTTTTCTTTTAAAATTTGCATCACTCAAGATATTTCGAACTCATGTTCAAATGTACCATAGAACTTTTTAAATGCATCATTATTTGCAAAACATTCACTATGTATAAGATACCGATACATTAGGTTTGTGTTAGGAGATTTTCACCATTAAATGAATGCATCAAATTTGAAATTGACATCACTCAAAGTATTTTCAACTCATATTCAAATGTACCATAGAACATATTAAATGCATCATTGTTTGTGAAAAAATTACTATGTATAAGATACCGATGCATCATGTTTGTGTCAGGAGAATTCATATTAGATGCATAAATTTTGACCCTGAGAATGCACAATAATTAAATGTGCTATATTTTATTAATTAAATCCTAAAAATGTATTATCTTCTCATCTTAATGCTAACCTTGATTTTAATAATGCACAATAATAGAAAAAAAATAAACAAAAATAAAAAAGATTAGTTGATAGAGCTTGAACATAATCGATCCCTCTTCTATAAATTTGAAAAATGAAAATCACAGATCTGATAACTTCCAGGCCAAGGGATAAAAGTAATACAATTCTAAAAATAAGAAACAAAAAATAATGTAGTGAGCAACAATAAGTGAGGAATAACATGTTTTGTGTTTGGTTTAGAGGGATGATTAGAAGAAACATTGCTGCAAAAATCACAAAATAGAACACGATGGGAGGGAGATGCCCTAATTCATTCTAAATTGGGCAAAATTGAAATAATATCTGGCACCAGTTGTTCTCCACCGCATCTGCAATCAATTCTGTATTTGGCCCCGTCACATGCCTGGTGGTTTCCACCGTTGTAGCCGCTCGTGAGATCTTCAAAGACCATAACATCATCTTCCCCAGTCGCGAACGGAAGTATTCAGAAGCAGAGAAGTTCTCGATTGCCGACACCAGCACATCCATGTCGATGTGGATCACCGTGTTAAACCACCGATTTCTTGTTTTTGTAGAATGACAAATTGAAGATTGTATGATAAGAATCATAATTGGAGAGATGTGATCTCTACGCTGATTTTGTGGGATGTAAACGGAAAGCATCATTAAAATACATATATGCCCCTCTGCTATGTCGATAATATAAAATAAAATAATATATATATATATACATACATACACACACACACACACACACACACACACACACACACACATATATATCTATATCTCTGTGTGTGTGTGTGTTGTTAGTCGGTTTAGACGTTGTGCCCACGCCTTAGAGGGGGGTGAATAAGGCGTTTAAAATCTTTTCGGAGTTTGATAAAAATGCTGTTGGCAAATGCGGAAGCAATATATAAAACGCAGAAATAAACGCGTAAAGTAAAATGCATAACGAATTTATACTGGTTCGGGAAACCCCTACTCCAATACCTCGAGGCTCCTCCTCAAGGATTTCCGAATCCACTAAGTCTAGGCCTCTTGAACTCCGTCAAAGCACCGCACTAGTTTTGGCAAACAACCCTTTGCCAATAGGATTCACTCCGAGATTTCACAACGGCTATCTCGAACCGTTTACAACGAAGATTTAACGGCTATCTTCTACCGTTCCCCCAAGGATTTCAAAGGCTATCCTTGAACCTTTACCCAAGGATTTATACGGCTATCCTTAACCGTTACAACGTGAGAATTTGACGGCTATTCTCGACCGTAAGAAGATGTGTTTAAAGAACACAAAAGTAGATTCTACACAACGGCTAGAATATTAAAATGAAGAACAAAACTTAGCCAGTGTAGAAGGAAAGTATACTCTCTCAAAAATACAATTCAAACTTATGAATATGAGAATATATAACTAGAAACACAAGCTCAAAGCGTGTGTATAAAAATCAGGAATTTAAGGCTCTTAAAATAGCCAAAATATTGAAAATGATTAATAAAAGGATGAACACACTTAGAATAAAAAGAGAGGATATTAAGAGCTTTGTTTCTTGAAGAAATGTCAAGGATTGGGCTTGTATTTATAGTGGAAGATGTTAATTAGCCGTTGGGAGGTGATTAGGGGTGATTAGAATTTAAATTGGCAATTTGCTACAGTGATTACAACGGATCCGGTACCCTTCATGGTAGGGTCAGTACCGTCCGGTACCTAGGTACCGTGACCACGGTATAGCCTACTGTTTGGGGGTACCGTGTAAGCCAAAAGTTCGGTTTGCCTCTGGCGGTACCTGGTTAGGACGGGTTGGGCCAACCGTCTACGCCTACCGTCCGGTACCTAGGTACCTTTACACGGTATGGGGGTACCGTGTAGGCGGTATACCCTACCGTTTGGGGTACCGCTAGGGGTACTGTGCCACTGTCCTGATTTTTCCAAAATTCCCTTAATCCTTCGTGTTTGAGTTTAAAACCTTTTAGATGTTTGAAAATGTTTATGGGATGGTTTTAGACATATTTTGTGAGTGCTTTTGAGCCATTGAATATAGGTATATAAAGTCATATCCTCACATTGGTTTCTACCTATATTCTACGCTAGTTTAGTGTTTCGACTTCATTCTTGAGTACCGAATCTTAATGGATTCTTGTTTTTCCTGAAACACTTAAACAAACGTTAAGCTCTTATATTGTTTGTTAACATCAAAACATGAGGCTTAGCAAACCAAGGCTAACATGTGTGTGAGATCGACTCCAGTCAGATGACACCTTACTGCGAGATTACATGCTACGGTCAGATGACACAAAGCTCACCACTAGCCACTGCAAAGCTCACCAAGGACAACTACATAGCTCATTAAACTATAAGGCAAAACACAACATATTTTTCAACACTGTGAATTTTTTTGAAGAAAAATAAAATCAAAGGAAGGGGTGCTGACAAGATTTTGACCGTTGACCGCCGCCTGCCACCGTTGGCCACCACCTTCCGCCACCAAACAACGGCGCCGCCGCACGCCACCGTTGCTCTACCGCCGCCTGCCATCACAGGTCTCCGCTGCTGACTGGTGGTTGACCGATGTTGTTATTTTACTTTTAGGTTTTACCCATTATTAGACGGTCATTTCAAGCTCGGTCATCGTTAGATTCGGTCAACAAATTTTTTGTTCAAAACTTAATTTTTTGAATCGGGTCTCAGGTTCAAAACAAGTCGAGTCCGTTTTTGTCAGGTCGCGTGCAAATTCTGCCCAAGCCGAGTCTCGATAGGGGGGGTGTTTTTGTTCAGGGCCGATTGCCACATTGGCAATACAGATCCCACGCCCCACAACCTAAAAGAGAGAGTAATTACCTCGTTTGCCCTTTTTTAGCTTCTTTTTTTTGGGGAAAACCAAAATAGCACCCTTAGAGCCTTAAAATACTCGAAATAGCAGTGTTATATGTTTCGTACATGTGATTTCGATTTTGTCCTTTAATTAAACAGCAAATATTCATTACACACTGCCAAAAAATATGACTGTTTTGGGCAGTGTGGTTGTTCACTTGTAACTGTGTAGTGGGCAGTGTGGTTTCTTATATGTGAGTATTTGGATATATGTTGTTATATCTTACGACAGTGTGTAAGTGTATTATTGTGTTCCTTAATTTCATGTTGGAGTGTAATATCCATTGATTTATGTGGCAGTGTTTTCATGTATAAGTTCTACACTTTCAGAAAGTGAATTACTATTTTCATGTATGAATTCCATACTACCCAAAAAATGTATAGCTCTTTTTATGTATGAATTCTACACTTTTTTCATGTATGAATTCCACACTGCCAAAAATGTGTATGACTATTTTCATGTATGAATTCTATATTGCCCAAAAATGTATGACTAATTTCATGAATAATCTATTACACCAAATTACACTGGCCAAACATGGGCATTAAATATGGAACTCAATTTAATATGTACGAACTTGTTTAGACATTATACATTATATTGATAAACTTCATAAGAGGAGGATCTCGCAGAGCTGTGGGAAACGACGTAGATGATGTTCTCGCACGTATGAGACGCACGAATGAGGAGGAGCCGCACGTATAAGGAGGAGTGGCTACGTGAATAACCTAAGTTCAATCCAATAATTAAAAGTAATTAAAATTAGTAGAATATTATAAAAGGTAGAGGGTATGCTTGGAAGATATTGACACTATAAATAGCTAAATTCGTATAAAAGATTAATGAGTGCTATATGCTTAATATTGAGTGACTTAGAGTGCTACGTAGGGTGATTTCTTCTTATTTTTTAGGGTGATACTCGGCAATGCTATTAGAACTTGACCGACCGGTCTAACCAGTTGGATCGCGAACCGGACACCAATCTGATCTGATTCAACATTAAAACCCAATGTTGCTTTGACCCACTCAAACTCGAAAGAACCAACGAATCGAGTGACTTGGGTTGGCCTAGCCGGTTCCCGAGTTAGATCAAAATGACTACTTCCTTTAATTTGAATTAAAAAATGGGAAGGAGCCAACACCAAAATACACTGGCCAAACATGGGCATTAAATATGGAACCTAATTTAATATGTACGAACTTGTTTAGACATTATACATTGGTAAACTGCATAAGAGGAGGATCTCGCTGAGCTGTGGTAAACAACATAGGATGATGTTCTCGCACGTATGAGACACACGAATGAGGAGGAGCCGCACATATAAGGAGTGGCTACGCGAATAACCTAATTTCCATCCAATAATTAAAAGTAATTAAAAATAGAATAATATAATAAAAGGTAGAGGGTATGCTTGGAAGATATTGACACTATAAATAGCTAAATTCGTATAAAAGATTAATGAGTGCTATATGCGTAATATTGAGTGACTTAGAGTGCTACGTAGGGTGATTTCTTCTTATTTTTTAGGGTGATACTCGGAAATGCTATTAGAACTGGACCGGCCGGCCTAACCGGTTAGATCGCAAACCGGACACCAATCCGGTCTGATTCAACATTAAAACCCACTTTTGCTTTGACCCACTCAAACCTGAAAGAATCGATGAACCGAGTGACTTGGGTTGGCCTAGCCAGTTCCCGGTGTTAGTCGGTTTAGTCGTTGTGCCCACGCCTTAGAGGGGGGTGAATAAGGCATTTGAAAACTTTTCGGAGTTTGATAAAAATGGTGTTGGCAAATGCGGAAGCAATAACTAAAACGCAGAAATAAAAGCGTAAATAAAATGCACACCGATTTTATACTGGTTCGGGAAACCCCTACTCCAGTACCTCGAGGATCCTCCTCAAGGATTTCCGAATCCACTAAGTCTCGGCCTCTTGAACTCCGTCAAAGCACCGCACTAGTTTTGGCAAACAACCCTTGCCAATAGGATTCACTCCGAGATTTCAAAATGGCTATCTCGAACTGTTTACAATGAAGATTTAACGGCTATCTTCTACCGTTCCCCCAAGGATTTCAAAGGCTATCCTTGAACCTTTTTTTGGAACACACTTTGTACGTTAAACTAAAGTCATGTTCATTTCTGACAGGTTTTGATAATTGCCAAACCGCCGTGGATATGAAGAGTTTCGTTGAATAACTCAAGGCGTGAAGAATGGCATGGAACATGACCAAAAAGACTCAAGGACAAGATCAAGAATTGAAGACTTAGTCGAGTCGGTCTTTTGTGATCAAAACCGATAATCAATTCAAGTCTCGGTTCTCAAAGAGTCAAAATTACTTTACAATATCATAAAATGTTTTTATGCATCAAAATAAACATGTTAGATAAATTTTCTTTTGTTAAAATCCCTGGTCCTTGCTCAGAACCAAAACCACCTAAGTCGGCGCTCGGCTTTCGGCGTTTGGCTTTCGACGTTCGGTTGTCGGCGTTCGGTCTTTAGCGCCCGAACCAACTCTGTGGTTTTCAATGTTTTAAACCTCGCTTTTATCTCTGAGCATATTTTAAATGTTTCCAAATAATTATTTTATAAAAACCACTTTTGTATCTTGGTCAATCGGTCTAACACGTGAAAAACGGTCAAAACCGTA